GAGTGCCAAATTTTAGAAAAAAGCTACTTACAAAACCTTTAATAATTAAATCATGATAACTCATGTAATAGTCAATTAGGTGTAGCTATATCAAAATGTAGAATTGTTCAGTACTTTATACTTAAATTTAAACAAGAAAGAACATTTTTTCTGTTCAAATGTCCCACCCGTGACGGCGGAATCGTCCAGAGGCAGAAATAAAAGAAGCGCCGTAAGTCCACCAGTTTTGTCTATATTCCTTTTGTTTATTAAAATTTTAATTTTTTTAAGTCTACCTCATATTATATCTAATTAACTACATATAAATGGGCATTTCTCTGACGTCATGATTTTTTTTATAAAGACTTTATAATTTCAAAGATATGATTAATTCCAAAACCTATCTAAAAATTTCAGTACAATGTAAAACAAAAATATGGGTACCAAATGAAAGAGTTTTTGGGCTCCACAAGGACGAATTGAATCTAATTAAGTTAGTCCTTAGCATATAATTTTTTCAAAAATAAAAGTTGCAAAGAATATCGAGGATAAAATTATAAAAGGGTATTTTCATACCTACCCCTACGCACCAAAACATGTAATCTGTTTTAACTCTACATCTTCGCTTTCATATAGTACCCATACTGGTTTTTTAAGTACATTGCACTGAAATTTTCAAATCATTTTTTGAATTACTCATATCTTTCAAATTTCAAAGTTCTTTTAAAAAAAACCTGACGTCGGAGAGAAAAACTGAGAACGCAATTTCACTATATTTGGCACTTGTTTTCACGAATATATTGATTTGGTTTCTGCAAAATTCCCATTCGCAAGGTTTTATATGTACATTTATAAAAAATATTAAATATTAAATAAACAAAAGAAATATTGCCAAAACTGGTCAACAAGAGGCGTTTCAGTTATTGTCACCAGTGTAAATTACAAAACCCGAAAATCCCGGATTTCCAGGACCTAAAAAAGACCGGGATCCCGGGCTTAACATTCCCAGCATGCATATAAATATGTAGATTAGATTGCCTGACTCTCCATGCAAAGAAAAGATGGATTATACGGGTACTTCTCCAAGCTATCAGCCGATTTGGAATTGAAAACTTAATTTTATTGTTTTCATAACTCTTTGCTGTTTCACAAATACAGTACAGGCTCGATTTTGGATTCAAGTTGAATCATTAGCTTTGTCCATTTATTATCTGTACATAGTATAAAGGCAAGTCGAGAATCTTTGTACGCGGTAATCTCGAAAACTACTGATTTTCTCTAATATATTCTGTATCGATAGGAGAGTAACCTTTTTAATTTAGAATTTTAATAGGGCTGCCACCTGTTAAGAAAATTACTATACTCAATTCTAACAAGCGTAGGCGTCAGTTCTGCACCGTCACTATCAAATGAAAAGACTTAGCCTCTGGATGTGTAATAATGTATTATTTTTCTGAGTAGGGTTGCCACCTGTTTAAAACCTATAAGATCTTCACCGCTCGTTGGATAAAAAAAAACTGAGATACCAAATGAAAGCGCATGGCCTTCGCATGTACAAAAACTTTAAGTTTTTTGAGTAGGATTGCCACCTATTTAAAATTCTCTCTATATAAATAATATAAAGGAAAGGCGAGATATTTTAACCACGCGACTGAACGGATTTAGACAAGATTTTTTATGTATATAATAAAGGAAGTACATCATGACATATGATTTCTTTCTCCAAATATGTAAATGTACATTCAGATGCATACATTCAGCGCGTGGCGAAGCCTCGTGCATCCGTGGCCGGCTAGTAATATATGTATGTATATATTATGTAATGTATAAAATTTTAATGAACCACTCAAATATGCCTATTTCCTTTTGTCAAACATTATTTTTCTTTTCTTCAATTATCCGAGGTGGCTTTGGTCTTGACCAACTCGGAAAAACGAGCTCTAGTGTACTGTTTAGAAGAAGCCTACGTACATACTAGGATGTTTGATTATTTACCCTTTTCCAAAACCGATTTTCGTGTTATTCGAAAAATTACAATCTGAAAAACCGGTGCCCGATTTTATTTTACATAGTTTTTAGTGAAAATGCTTATATTAGTATGAAGTAGGGATATGCGATTAATAGTTCTGGCTAGCTACATTGTGAAATAATCAGATGACATAATGACACTAAAAAATTTTAAAATATGTTCACTAAAATTTTATTAATGTAAAAAACAAGCTTTTGGCAAGTAGTTATCGTATTTAATGTAAAATTTAAACGTTTTTAAGAAAATATATTATTTTTTTTTAAAGGTAACTATTTTATTTATACTCCCAAATTTAGGATATAAAATCCCTTCTACCAAAAAACTTAAATTGGGTAACGCCGTTTCGAATTGTTTACAATTGAGCAATTGTCAAAAAGCTCCTTTTTAATCAAAAAGTTGTTTATTGAAACTACCTTCTTTTTTTTTGTATCATGATTGTACCATGCCGCATTGTAACCCAACCAACTCTCAAATCATTCAACTATATTTGGCATTTTAAGGTTTTACATTTTATTTTTATTATAAAATTTTACATTTGAAGTGAAATGCATCAAGTTGAAAAGATAATAGAATTAGATTTGAAAAACTGTACGCTTTTCCAAGAAATACACACCACTAAAACTGATTTATAGTCTCGTTATGTTTTTATTCGTTTTCTTTAATAATAAAATACTTATGATTTGATTTATATGATAGATACCATTACAGTTTGATTTGAATTTAGAATGCATTAATTCTGTGGTAAATGTTTTTTAAGCTTTGAAATTGGGGCTCCCGGTTGAACTGTTGCTTCTTATTGGTGGCTTGTTTTGCCTATGTTTGCTTTCAAGCGCTTGCATGTGCTCCAATGAATTGTAGATGTTTTCATTTTTGTTCTTATAAGGTTTGCTTTAAACATTACAAAATTATGACCATCATCATAGATATCATATTATCGGTAGTAAAAGTAGCAAAATTCACAAATACATAATATTTTGTTTTTGGTGGTCGTTTATTTTATTGTTTTTTTTTTGCATTTCTTTTTTTTTTGCTTTTCTCTTAACGTATTTCAAAAATAAAAAAAAACGGGGACATTCAACAAAATCTACACTAATACACTCAAATAAATTTTGTTTGATGTTTCTTCCGATTGATCCTCATATTGCCATTTACACTCTCGTGTTTGTGCATGTGTGCGTGTATGCGTGCAGATTCATAAAAAACTTTGCCGCAGTTCCGATTTTTCTACCATTAATACCACTCCATTTTTAGTGCCTACTACATATGTAGCTGATTTTCATATGCCACGTTTTTATTTATCAGCGGTCCTCAAATATTCTTCATGAACGCTTTTTGAGTAATTAATTCTTTTTTTCATTATTGGATAACTTTTTTTTAAATACATGTATATAATATAATTTTTTTTTTGCTTTAAATAAAATACAAATGAAATAAGATTATTTTTTAATAATCAATCATGATTAAGAAATTACCAATCAAATACACGTTTGAAATGATGCCCGTTATAAAAAGAGGAAACAAAATATTGGGAGTGTGTTTTTTGTTTTTGTTTTGCATGTAGCGTATGTAAATTGTAGACTTGCTCTTTTAGAGCAAAAGGCATTTGGTCTTCTTCCTCTTCTTGACTTGTAGTGCAGCTCTAGTAGCCGTTTCAAACACATCTCGTACACCTTCTTTAGACTTGGCTGAACATTCTAAATAGGCGAAGGCATTAATTTTCTCAGCCATTGCGCGACCCTCTTGAGGCTTAACTGGCTCCTGTTTCATTTTGGCAAGATCCTTTAAAATTATTTATTTATAAGTTATTTTGGGAAAAGTAAGTATTCTCATCGTTTTAAACTTACTCGAATAGTGTTGGGATCATTTCGTAAATCCTTTTTATTGCCTACCAAAATTATCGGAACATTTGGACAAAAATGTTTCACCTAAAATTAAAAATACAATTTTAGCGTAATGCTTCTTAATTTGTGGAATGAGACTAACCTCAGGAGTCCATTTTTCAGGAATATTCTCTAATGAATCGGGCGAATCCACTGAAAAACACATAAGAATAACATCCGTATCCGGGTAACTCAGTGGTCGTAGTCTGTCATAATCTTCTTGGCCGGCCGTATCCCATAATGCTAGCTCAACCTAAAAATAGAAAAAGGCGAACATTTTAGGTTTGAAATTTTTGGGGGATTTTGTTAAAATTTGTTGAATTTTCATAATTGTTGTACAAACTTTGAAGTATGGATTTATATAGTGTGTGTTATATATTGCGCTAGACTTTTATACAAAAACATTAAACATCGAATAAACAAAGTAATATAGCCAAAACTGGTCAAAGTAAAAAGTTTCTATTATTTCTTCCACCACTGTATATATATGTATGTATACCGGTAAAAATTGCTTTTCACAGGTTGGGTTCCTAATCGCAGGTTGCAGAAACATTCCGTTGGGTTCTCAAAAAATAGGGCTGTTCAGAATGTTGTGGGAATGGTCTGGGATTTGCAGTTGGAATTGCATTTGCAAAGTTCATGCTGGCTACCATGGCAACCGTATGAATTTTATTGTTGTGAATTTACAAATACAACGAATATGGAAATGCAAGAGCATAAGCACAAGATCCTGAACAGCCTAATGTATTAATAATTAGTTAGACATAGGTATAGTTTATGATGTCGTTTTAATGAAATGGCAGAAATACACTTGGAGAATGCGCTTAATCGAAAATCAAACCCTCTTAATCCCCTAAATTTTTTTTTTATCAATATGCCAAAGATATATATGTATATACATACATAAATAAATAGATACATTAACCTATGGTTAAAATAATAGCAACGCGACATTCTGACCAATTTCGACTATACTTCTTTTACTTGTTTAATGTTCATATTTTTTTTTATAAAAGTGTAGCTCATTAACTGACAGAATCAAATTTGAAACTTTCTGTACGAAATTTAGAAAAATTTAACCAATTTTCATCAAAATTTCAAACTTTAATTAAAAATTCCTGAAAAAAATTGGTGTGCAGTTTATAGCCAATTAAATTTAAGTGCATTAAAGTGCTAAAAAATGCAGTTGATCTTGAATTTTTTTGCTGGTGCTGTACGCATTTCCTTCCATATAAAAGAAAAAATTCAAACATACACGACGGGATTTTCAGCAAGTTCACAATTGCATTTCATTGAAGTAAATTTGAATTGGCTATTAAACTGCATACCAAAAATCCATCGTACAGTTCTATAGAGGCCCCGCCAGATAGAAATTCTTTTCTGCGTCGCAGGGATGATTTTGACTGGCATTCAAGTTAACTCTGTGATTTTTAACAGCAGGTAATAATCGTTTTAGAAACCCCGAATTAAAAAGTTTGAATATTTGTTGAATTTTTAGTAGTTTTGTACAAAGTTTGAAACTTGGATTAATATGGTTTTTTAGATAGCAATACTTTTATTAAAAATTAATGAACATTAAACAAACAAAAGAAAAATTGTCGAAGCTGGTCAACAGTTTTTATTATTTTGAACATAGGTGTGTATGTAACACATCTATAAAAAGTGTGTTCCGGGATTAGTCCCGATGAGATACATGGTGCATTAATTAGTCGCGACTAATCTGACTCGGAGGTTCGCCACCAGGCCCTACGGAGTGGTAGCACGCACCTCTAACCACTTCTGTAAGTACATATGTACTTTTTTATTTTCTAAAAACGACTACCTACTCGGTTTTCCTACCCTTTCGGGTATCTTCTTCTATCTTCTATATACTTATCTCTAACAAGTTTTTTTCTTTTAACAAACGTATATCTCTTTTATTGTTTTATCGAATTTAATGAATGATATCTCATTTTGAAGGGGAGAAGTTCACGTACATGCGAAAAATAGTCAAGTTGTTCAAATTAAGTTATTTATAAAAAAAGGGATTTTAAAAAGCTGAGAGCACTGTATCAGGTCAATAGAGCGCCAGATCTTCCATAACACTTCATTCAATCGAATGAATTAAACACCCTTTTGAAGGACAGCCTCATTGCTTGAGGTAAAAACAAACATTTTTAATGGGGTTGCCAACCGCTAAAAATTTTTGGGACTTAAATAATCGACTAAAATATTACAACACATTCAATGAATGAAAGGCATTTAAATGCACTCCTAACCGGAAGTAATAATTTTGAAGAGGGTGCCAACTATTTAAAAATGTATATCTATATATATGTATTAAACAAAGTTGCTTACGCAATACCGAGCATAGCTCTAGAGTGGATTGGTCTATTACGGTGTTCGCAGGAGGCGATTTTAGAGGCGATTAGTTGAATCAAAAGTTGGCTGCACCACAACTTCATTGAAAACGATTAGTTGAAAGGCCGTTCACACCAGTCGATTTTTACTTTCAACTAAAAGTTGCCAGTAAAGTCGCCTCATGCGAATACCGTATTAGTGAGCTGTCTTGTTGTTATGTTAACAATTATGTTATGTTAGGTTATGTTACAGTGCGCTGCAAATTATTTCCGGTTTCATTTACAGGTGGCGGATTTGAAAAATGTATGATGGATTTTTGTTTAAAAATACAAAAATCATTCCTATCCTGAGTTTCATTTTGCTCGAACCGGTTCACTTTTTACTTTTCGTTTTCGTGTATTCAATACGGACGGATGAAAAAATTTCGGGCGAAACTCACGACAAAAATAAATGAGAATATCTGGCGCGTACATTGGACAATGGACTTTCAGTGTTCGTAAACCATTCGTCGATTAAATTATGAAACATTGCCTCACGCAACCGCAATTTACAAAGATTGACGATTAGCAGTGCAAATCAAAAACCTCAGCAATCCGCCCAAATTAATGCAGGACGACCTCAGGAAGAACATGCACCTTAACAACTTAAATCAATTCGTTTCGTTGAGAACTCTAATATCGAAATCGATCGCTGTTATGCGATTAAACGCCAAACCATTGCAAAATTGCAAGAGCTTCGTCAGGGACACAACACTTTGATTAAGTTATTTAAAATGGCAATATGCTTTCCGACAAACACAAAACCATAATCAGAGCATATAAATGTCCCACTAGAAGTCATTAAGTGAATAGTTGTACCAAAATGTTCCAACAAAAAACTGAACTTAAAAAACTTTGGGCGAAACGAAGTTCGCCGGGTACATTAGTAAATATGAACAATAATGGTTTCTCCTACTCAACTTAACTTAGTAGTCCAATTTTTCGGCTTAGCCTAGATGGTGAATATCACTAATTCCAAAAAATGGCTAAACTAAATTAAGTCTCTCATGCTCGGACAAAAGGTACCAGTTCATTCCATATGAAGATATATCAAAAGTGGTATTAGTCGCTTGTTCCTTTGTGATTGATCCCGGAGCCATCCCGTATCTGTCGCATTTTGCCAGTCCTGATGGAGCGGAAAACAATTATAGCCAGTATACATACGTTACACCTGTATATATTTGTGCTTGTACACACATATCTATGTCGCTAATTCGGTGGAAGTTATGCATTGCAATCAAAATAAACCCTATCCGACCTTTAACGTTTACAAAATTTTGAGTATTAATCGTCAAATAATAACAGTGAGATTATTTTGTTAAAGGTTGCATTGGGCTGACTCATAGCAAATGTCTCAATGCTAAAAGAGCTTTTTTTGACGAGTTAATTATGATTTGCAAAGAGAGTAATTTACATGATCAAAATTTCTTTTCGTCATACAAGTGCAAACTACAATAATTGTAAGCCTAACGGGATTTTTAAAAAGAAATCGATAAAAACAACGAAATTAGTTTTGCTAAATAATATTCAAAAGAAATTTTAAGGATCTTAAACTAAAATTAGGCAAGATTTGTTTATATTTTTGGTAACTTACTTGTTTGCCATCGACTTCGATGTCCGCAACGTAATTTTCAAAAACAGTTGGAACGTATACCTCTGGGAACTGATCTTTACTGAAGACAATCAGAAGGCATGTTTTACCACAAGCTCCATCGCCTACAATAACCAATTTTTTCCGAATCGTCGTCATTGATCTGTAAAGAGTAACAATCCAAAATTATTTACTTTCCCTGAGTTTTATTCATGGATGTGTTAAAATGCAACAGTTCGAAACAATTTTTACAATTTTATCCAATCCCCCTTAAGCGGATGGTTTGGCACCGTAAATATTTTTCACGAAATTGTGTAGATAACTAAAAATAAAAAAAAATCTACATATATAGATACATATCCATACATATGGATGTATGTATGCATCTTATCGTAATATTAAAATAAGTTTCATCTCGTCAGCACACTTTGGAGCCTTTAATTCCCCACTCGAAAATCGCCTTCCCCTGTCTTCATCTTCAAGTAATCTCGTCCACCTATCGGTGCCCGGACAGCCGACGCCGCAAACTGCGCTGCCAGTACCTTTCATAAGACGGAATCGCCGCGGACGTCATCGCAAACGCCAGCGCATCGAACATCACAATAATTAATTTCATTATCACCATAGCTCAGCAGTCGCTGTCATCACCCATTCGCAGTATTATGCATGGAATTTTTTTCTCTTCGCGGATATCCGCCCCCCGCACCTAAATATTTATTCTATCTTTCCCCTTTTTCACTTCCATTGATGTCAACGCTGCTGCTATTTGCTATTCACATTTTTCACTTACAGAATTTGATGATTTTACTGCCACACACTCGCCAATATCGACTTTGTAGACAATAAATATTTATTTGATGACACCAATTTATGGTCTTGCGACGAAGACTTTCTGTTTTGTGCAAAAATTAAATATCTCCCAATTTTTTCCCGATCAAATTTTCTTTTCACACTTGAAAATGATGATGAACAACGCCTTTAAAATACAAGTGACGACCTCAGCCGATGTTCATTCAGTGATGCCAAACTTAGGAAAAATTTATCATCAATTCTAGACAGGGGCAAAAAAAATTGTAATTCTTATTCACAAATATACTATGCTTTCGATTTAATGTAATTTTAAATCTTAAAACTTTAAATCAATTCTGTATTCGAATGAATATATTTAAAGGTTCTATGGTTAATAATAATATTAGTGTATTTCCTAAGACACAACCTCAATGACAATTGACTAATTTCGTACGCAAAACTGAGAGTGGGGCAACATTGAAAAATACGAAGTGCGTCAACTTCCCCCAAAAGAGATAAAACATTTGTAGCTGCTAAAATAGAGTGCATTCAACAACGTGAAAAAATGAGAAAACCTCATTATACCTAAAAGAAAATGGCGCCGAAGGTTACTATGCACGGTTGATTTTTTCAAAGTGTGTTTAATTGCTTAAATTAGATCCAAGGAACTCATCTAGCGCAAGGCCCATCCCGGATAAATATTTACGTAGAACGTAGATTTCTTTTTCATTCCGTGTATGTAGGGTGATTATTCTTGACTTTTGATTTAATTTTAAATAAAACATTTGAAACAGAACAGGATGACGGAATCCTTATTATTACCCTATAGAAAAATTTTCGACATTTACTTGTTAAAAATGATTTCATTTAAATGTTGGCCGCAGCGAAGAAGGTAAATTTATAAGGGCTGCGTTTCTTTATACATTCCGGATAATCCCATTTCACAGCCGGAATAAACAGAAGTCGTTTGAAATATACGCTAACATATCATCAGGAACGTTCTAAAGACAAAGAAGGTAAATTTATAAGAAGAGACAACTCGTTATTTTGAAAATGCGCTGCGCCGATTTTGACCGTATTTACGAAACTTGATGTCCGAAACTTGATGTACATTGTTGTACGAATTTGCTGTATTTGCTCTACCGCTACCTCCTTGTATAAATTCGCCTTGAGGTGGTGCTACAGGCGAATTTATATTTTCGCCGCGGTACTTCTTAATGTCAAAATCAAGGCGAATGTATACAAGGTGGTGTTACTGGCGAATTTAGATTTTCGCCGTGGTACTTCCTATTAGCAAAATTATGTGTTTGTTGTAAACAAGGCGAATTCATATTACAACAAAGACATCATTCTGACATTAAGTACCGCGGCGAAAATCTAAATTCGCCATCAACACCACCTTGTATAAATTCGCCTTGGTCAAAATGGTTGTAATATGAATTCGCCTTGTTTACAACAAACACATCATTTTGACATTAGGAAGTACCGTGGCGACAATCTAAATTCGCCATTAACACAACCTTGTATACATTCGCCTTGCTTGATGTCAAATCGGACGGGAATTCCTCTTGCAAACCAAGGCGAACTTATACAAGGTGGTGTTCGTGGCGAATTTAGATATTCGCCGCGGTACTTCTTAAAGTCAAGATGATGTGTTTGTTGTAAAATGAATTCGCCTTGTTAACAACAAACACATCATTTTGACATTCGGAAAAATCTAAATTCGCCGTCAACACCACCTTGCATAATTGTGTTTTGTTTTAAATATGCATATCGTCGTTTAAAGTGCAAAACCGCGTATCAGCAAAATGCAAAACCGCGTATGTGAAGTTGTAAAAATTATTTTCTAGAGCGTAAAAACACTCATATTACAAAATGGTTCTCTTTTTAAAGCAATCGCATTTCTGGCTAATATATTTCAAGACGAATGGATAAGAATTGAGCCAAGAGCTTGTGCGAGCAAATCCAATTTTTGGCAGCCAATGTCAGTTACGCGGATTTGCAGAATGACGATACGCGGTTTTGTACTTTAAACGACGATATGAATTTAAAATAATAACAAGTATTTATCTTTTGCTCCGATTTTTTGTTTTTCAATACGATTTTTCT